GTACAGGATACAATGACGAAACAGCAGCTGTATGTGAAAATTATCCACATTTTTATTGGACTCGAATACAAAATGGATTCTTTGCAAGTAAAAAATTATTATGTAGCTGACTAGAATAATCAACCAAATGAATGATATGATAAAGGAGGAATGCCTTGTCTTTTCGAAGTATTTCAGCGCCCTTCGCTGTGAAAATGGAGAGAATTGTCACCTAAAGTTGAGTTCTATGTGTGAATTAACATCAGAAATCCATTATTCATTTAAACAATTATACAATTGTTATAAAACTGAGTGTAATATCGGAGAATATCAATGCTATGTTGCTAATTTTTGTATTCCAATTAAAAATGTATGCGATGGAGAAAAACACTGCGATTATGGAGACGATGACAATTTCTGTGGTATGATGTGGTATAGATAAAAATTCATTGATGACGTCATTTCACTATTGAAAAAAAAATTTCTTAGACGAATTCTTTCATCCAATTGGATATTTTTCCTGTAAAGATGGAATCTTATTAAGTAAAACTCAAGTTTGCGATGGACAAATAGATGGAAGCGACGAATTGTATTGTAAACCTTTCAAATGTCCAATAAAATGTGTCTGCAGAATTCGTTTTGAAATTGAATGCAATTTTAAAACTTCAAATGAAAATTTCATGAAATTATGAAAAACGATTATTCGCGAAAAAGTTGTATTTAATAAACATAAAAAATGCGACAATTTTCAATTTTCTTCTTAAAAAAATTGAAAAACATTACGATACTTTTTAAAATTTAACTCAAAGTTTAATGAGTGTTGATGATGTTGTTAGAAATATTCAAAATTTAGTGATTCATGATATCAGTTACACAAGACAAGGGTATTTTTTATAGGAAAAGTGTTGACTACCTTTTAAAATTACAAATATTCTACGGTAAAGGAAACTTTTTAAAACAATTGAATTCTATTCTGTTCGGCAAATTTTCAGTTTTACACCTTGATTTATCATTTAATCAAATTCCATCAATTAACTTGACAAATATTTCAAAATTTCAGAAATTAATCATTATTAAAGATGTAATTACGAATATTTTGCCTGAAAAACATTCCAGAATTGCTATCATAAGAAAATGTAATAACTGTTTCTAGACAAATGAAATCTGATATAAAACATGATTTTTTGAAAAATTTTCCATGTTTGAAACTATTTAAAACTCACAATTTTTACATATGCTGTTCATTAAAGTTATATATGAAAAGTGCAAAATGTACTTGGAAAGGAAAAGAAACCGGTATCAATTTAAAATCTTGTTCAAATATTTTACAATCAAGAATTCAAAAATATATTGTAATTTTGTCAATAATATCTATACTAATTTTAAATTGTTTTGGAATATGTTTACTAATCATGCTAATTAGAAGAAATTATGAAATATACTAATTCATTTTTTCATTTATTGCTTACAAATGTTTATCAGCTTTTCATTAATAATCTTATTGAGTAGCAACATCTATTATAAAAACAGTTATTATGAAAATGAAAGTGTTTGGAGAAATGGTGTAATGTGTAAAATTTGTTGAATATTCTTAAGCTTTTCAAGACTTGGTACAATCAGTTTAGAATCAATTACATTGATATTTGTCAAAGTCATTTTACCAAAGGGAAATATGGATGGAAAAGCAGTACTCACCTCTACTCTATGCATATTCCTTTTTTGTTTAGCATTGATATTTCTGCTTTAGCATTTTAATATTTTAAACCTATGAATGTACCAAATGTTTAAATGTTTTCATAGGGTTCGATTTCAATTAAAACCATATCAAAGTTGTAAATTATCATGATTAACTATTGCTATTAGTTTTAGCATGCAGTTTTCATTTAAAGTAATTTTTCAAAAAAATCTTTAGTCATGCATAGGATGTTTTCTCCCAATCTTTAGGATGTTTTTTCCCACCCTAGGACATTTTTTCCCAGGATCATTTTTTCCTGACTCCATCATTGAGATAATACAAAGATTTGATGAAAGGTTAAAAATTCTTCCAAAAAGGAAAAGTATATTTCCAATTTGAAATATTATGAGTAATAAAAGATGATTCAGGTTAAGAAAAAAGATAAAATATCGATTGTGTATTGAAAAATTCAAATGCATAATGAGCATGGAGAGAATGGGACACACATCATATGGCCTACTTTCGCATTCGACCACTGACCAATTCTTTTTTCTAATTGTAGACTAATAAACGAATTTCGTGGCAATGTACACCTCCTGCAGCAATCTACAGAAATAAAAATTTGACAGTGCTGCCACCTCGATATCTTTTACTATTTCTAAGTTGAAAAAATACAACATTCTACTATTAGAGTAACTATAATTATTTCCAATATTTAATTCATTGTTTTTTAAAGCTCCATGAAAAAAATTGAAATTGACCAAAATCAATACAAATATTATAAAATCCATTTTTTTGGTAAATTAAAATCTGGAGTTTTTCTAAATTTAAGATTGAATAACCTTGTGGTTTCTAATGCTATTCCATCTCCAACTTCACCTTCAGTCCTTAAATCTATTTCAATTATATTTGGACATCTGAATAAAGAAGCAATGTATTTTGATTGATTTTCATCTATAAAACACCTTAGAAGGCGAACAATTCTTAAAGGTTTTGAAGATTGGATCAATCCAGCACAGATACTTAACAATCCTTCTTTCATTTTATTATTATAGCTTAAATCTATAAATTCCATTCTAGAACATTTTAATAAAACGCAACCAATATTTTTAGCCTGTTCTTCACTTAATTGACATTTTTGAAGGGAAATTTTTGTTAAAGTATGAACCGATGAGTAAAGTCTGTGACAAATGTTAAAAAATCCATTTCCCATTGCAGTATTAAAATCCAAATATATTTCTTCAATTTGAGTACAAAAGTTTAAAAGATATCCTAAAGATTGGCATGAATTCTCTTTCAGAGCGCAAGATGGAAATGATAAACCTTTTAAGGTATTTACTGATGACTGAAGTCCTTTACAAATATTTAAAAACATAAAATCAATTGAAGGATTAAATCCTAAGAAAATCCTTTCCAATTTTGGCAATTTTCCCAAAAAATTACCAAGAAATTCCCATTCATATTGTAAAATAGAGCATTCTTCCAACAATATATCCTTTAAAGTATGTTTTGACAGAAAAAGTGCTTGGCAAATACCAGTTAACTCTATTGGAGATAATTTATTATTACTTAAATTTATTGATTCTAATTTAGTCATTTTCTCCAAGATTTCAATAAAATATTTCCATCCAATAATTCTAATATTACAAGCACTCATATTCAATTTTTTCAAAGTATCGGACGAGGGTTGAAGACCATCACATATGAATAAGATAGAATGTTCCATAGAGAAATTGCTACTTAAATCTATCCATTCAATTGTGGAAAATTTTCGGAGGACATTACCTATTTTCTTGCAAGACTCTCCAGAAATTTTACAATTTACAATCTTCACACCTTTTAAATGAATTGATGTTTTTGTTAGTTTATTGCATATTTCATCACAATTTTCTATTGTAAAACAAATTTCAACTGCTATGGAATTTGAAGGTATAGTTTTATGTTTTTTGCATTTTTGATCAATTAATGGTTTTCCTTGAAGAGATTCATCAGCAATTCCTAATTTTATATTGTGAATTTGATCAATAGATAGTTCACGATCTTCTTTACAGGTAGTACACGTTATTTTGCAGTTATCCGCAAATGATTCTTGACAACATTGAGTACAATAGACGTGTTGGCAAGGTTTTATTGATGTTCCACAACCCATTGGTATGTGAGAAGGACAGGATAAAGAAAAATATTTTTCTGTTTTAATAGTTCCAACGAAAAAAAGCAAACTCTTTTAAAGCATTTATATTTATATAGTCAGCTTCATTATCTGTAAAAGTTGAAGAGTGTCAACTTATCTGATAAGTTATCCTGGACTGACTTGAAAATCCAATGTTAACAGTTTATAATAATGTTAATAAAATTTAATTATAGGTTAAGCAAGTATAAACTGTTAACATTGGATTTTCAAGTCAGTCCAGGATAACTTATCAGATAAGAAAAAAAGACCTTGTGACTCAATTTGAGTTTTTGGTCTTTTTTTCTTCCTGTTTGTGTTTACACCAACAGTTGATACCTATGTTATAACTACTCTGTTTATAGTTGCTAAGGATTGAATTTTGTCAACTTTTTTTTCCAATAAGAATTGTTAAGTGATAAATTAATAACGGTCAAGGTCAAAAATGTCAATGTTTACTGCATTTGATTAAATATTTTTCCATAGTATTATTAAAAATCAATTCCTATATCTATTTTATCTCTAAAAGCTTATCTTAACTTTTCAAGTCACTATCTTTAGTCATAAAATATGTAATCAGCTCCTTAAAAAATATTGACAGCACTTTCTGCCTCCTAATGATTGCAAATTGAAGATTGTTCATTGGCTAACCTAAATTACAAATTAATATTTTCTTGAAATTTTCACAATAAGGCGCTCTTTTTTACCATGGTAACGAGTTTTCACACATGTAAATGATGACACCACCAATGTCATGCAAGAAAATTAGCTAACTAATTTAACAGATTTTTGTGATACTTTATTCTAAACACAATTTAAAAGAACTTTTTTAAAACTTATAATAAAGTCAAATAGGTTATGCTTTACAGCAGAATATAGGCTTAGTGAGATAAGAATATACATTAAATTTTTTGAGATATTTTAAAAATATTCTATCTAACTTGAATACTTTGAGGATAGTGGTTATTTTCAATTCTGTATTATCTGAAAACCACCCTCCTTGCTTTTCGGGAAATGGTAATTCTAATGATAATCCCAAAGCTATACTTTCTTGACACTACAAATAAACAAAATTTTTGAATGAATATTAATACTTTTCTGCTTTGACTGCAGTTTTGAATAAATTAAAAATTAAGGTATAAAATGAAATGTACTACATTCTTGCACACCAATTGCAGATATGCCGTCGGGACTTTTCTTCTGCTTTCGTAAGTTTTTAAAAATTACAAATCTTAGTTTAGATTAACATTTTAATTTTGCAGTTATCCTGAGTTGTACCAACACATTCACTAGTCTTAAAAAATGTCAGCTGATGTCGGAAAGTGTTGTCTCTAATGACATAAGTGAATATACTAATCGGATGTATTATTCTGGTGGATATTCACCAGACACTATCGAATGCGAGAGGTTTACTTCTCCTAAATCGAAACCATACTTTCTAGTGAAAGTTATCTCCACTGACATGGAAATGTCTAGTGGTTGTCACGACGATTTTGCGGCCATTTATAACGGCTCCGACACCTCTGGCAATCTTATTAAAAAGTGGTGTGGTACTATGCAGAACTTCTCATTCGAGGTGATTGGATCACCTAATATTTTCTTTTATTTTTCATCTGACTCAGATGAAAATGTTGGAAAAGGAACTAAATTTGAAATAATTGTACCCGAGAGTAGGTATCAAGAAACGGAGACATCTTCAGTAAATTTATCTATAGTTCTTGGTGGAAGCGCTAGAGGTTTAGCTTCCGTAATTGCCTTCGTTTGTATGATATGGTGCCTTTATAGATGTATTTGTCGATAGAAAAATGATTACAATTTTTCTCATCTTTCATAGTTATAAATTCTTATTGACTCACTCACTCTCTCTCTGTAAATCTTAAAAACATTTACTCTTTTCAATAAATTGAAAAATATTTTAAAAATACTCCAGTTGCAGAGTTTTAAGTTTAATTGACATATTTAACAAAAGGCTACGAGTTTATTCACTTAAAGTGATTGGATTAACTATCAAATCCAATGCCATTTCCTGAAAATTAGCAAACAAATATCTTAATCTTGAATATGATATTTTATAATAAATCCATTAAATTAGAACACTGCAAAAAAGAAAATTTTGAGTTGAGGTCCGAATGTACCCTTGGCAGGGGGGTGAACGTATCTGGGTAAAACTGACCAATTATTTGGTTTCCATAATTTATTTTTAATCCAGTGTGTTTGGAAGTATTCCAAGAGGTCCAAGAACTTATTTTTTTCAAAAAGTTCTGCCTTTATACTGTAAAATGTTGATTCAATAATATGTGGGTGCCAAAGAGGAGAGCCATCAATTTTCTGAAATCTTTCTAATCATTTCCTCTTTAAAAATGCATTGTAATTCTTTTAATTAAAGCATTTGTTTAAAGGTTCGAGTAGAACCAGTATTGTTGTAACTCGCAAATCCATAAATTGGCCAAGCAAGAGCAGTACAATGTTGCTCTTTTTAAAGTTTTGTCTTCACTGCATTTAATATCTTTACTGCATGCCATAATTAAAAAAATACAATATAAATTATAAACAGTAATTTTTAATATCCAATAACTAAGAAACTTAACTTAAAAAAGCAAATAAGTTGAAAAAAATTTTGATGTCTATTTGAATGTCAAAACAGATGTCAGCACAATGTTCCAAATATCATGTTGCGCAGCCAAATAAAGAAAAAACTTATGAAAATACTAAAAATGCTAATAATATTCACAAAATCTTGTCATTTTCTTAATTTTTTTCAATATTATGTCCATTTAACTCTTTTTCTATATAAATTTAGACAAAAAAGACTAGTTTGCAGGGAACAAACAATTTTAACCATTAATTAAAAGTTAGCCTTTCTGAATTTACGGTGTCCACATATTCTTGTAATTTACTTTATCTTTCTGCAAAAATTCATCAGGTATTGTTCAAATTTAAATTGTACACTTTAGATTCCACTGGCCTAAATTTTTGTCTATTCGAGTTTGCCACTTGAATACATTCGCACTCGACGGCAAAAATTTTGTCAAGTCCTCCCACTGTGTCATTTTTCTATTTTTTGTGCTATTTTATTGAATATAATCCGTCATGCATTATTCTTCTACAATGTCTCTTTCTTAACTCAAAGCTTAAAAAGAGTTAACAAAGCTGAGGTTAGTCGATAAATCAACTAATCAAAAGGTGATTTCTCCAAAACCTTTAGGATTATAAAAAAACAAAAACAAGAACCCTTTAGACTGTATATGAATTATCCATTTTTTAAACCCCACCTCTGAATTTCCACTCTTTGTCAAACATAAAAAGTTATAATCAAATCATTCTATTTAAAAATGGTTAAAAAAATATATCTTTTCTAGTTTCACTCTGTTTTGAATCCATTGGAATGATTTAATACTTTGTATGAATGCCCTATGTATGTAGTTTTGAAGCTTTGTCTGTTAGGTGATCATGGTTACAATGTTTTAATAGACCCAGATGAAACCGTACCCAACTTAAGTCATACCCATATTGGAAACAAGAATGAACGCCAAGATGGAAGGTATGATTGAAATGATGAGCTCTACTCAGACAAACCCTCTAAACAAACCACATGATTCACTGGCTTCTATTCGAATCCATGAAACAGACATCTCAACAGCCAAGGAACAAGATGATGGATTTTCAAATATTCAAACTCTCCAAGAATATTTAAATAAATTAGAAACACTACCTGTATAAAGCGTCATTTTTCGCGATTATTGCTTCATATATACGGATTGCCTGCAATAGCAATCCGTCTAAGTTTTATTTTCGTCATACAGACTCGATCATGCTTTTATAGGCTATGGTCAGACACTGCTCAACACCGAGCACTTTTGACTTATTACAGTAGACGCATAAGTTTCCCCCACACACTTCGTGACTCGCGTTCTGGGGAACACTGAACAAAATCTATTCAAGGTAAAAGATAATCCTTTGGATAGCCAGAGTAATAATGAACAGAAAATATTTATTCATTATTCTACAAATGGATGCAAATTCAGGAAAGTTGCTGCTCAATCAATAAGATTAAAGATTTCTAATAACCTGGAAGAACCTCAATTAGACATTGAAAGACTTTCAGAACTTTTGAAATTAGGTATCAAAGAAGATGTCGGAAAAAAGGGTGTACAGCTACAGCAAGTATCGGATTATATGACAAATAAGCTTGATCAACATTCAGATCAACTAAATTATGCAAAACAAATTGGCATTGACCCTGCAGTAACTAAATCTAGAAGATATTTTATGGCTTGGACAAAGAAACCACTACAAACTATTATCAATTTCCTTATTCCTGCAACAACAACTGGTGCAATTGGAATGATATTGTATTGGATAAAGATGAAAGGATTACATAAAAATGTAACACAAAGAATACTAAACAGATTCAGAAAAACAAATGACATTAAATCCATTGAGGAAGGCCAACCCTTAAGAGTTGTCAGCAGCAGGAAAGGTCAAGTTATTATTGCCAATGTTGAACCATCAGTGGAATGATGCTTTAAGGAGAGGAGAAGTCTGTACACTTATGAACTATAGTTTATAGATATTTTATAAATGATACTTACTATATGGTAGAAGTGTTGAAGTAGATGTTGCCTCTAGGGTAGATGGTACCCAACTGCCAGAATCAACCCCTTTTATAGGCAAAGGATAAGATGTTACATAACAAACATGTTGACAACAACAACAAGTGTTTATTTACATGAATATGATGTAAGAATTGACCCTTGACAGGTAACCTACACAAAGTTGTTGTTGTTTACATCACTATTGCATAATATGATAACCCTTGACCCTGTTTGTTGTGAACAATCCTTATATGGGGTTAGACCCTTGTTGTTGACAGCCAAGGCATAAACAACTGATAAGGAATTGTATAAAAGCAGGGCGTAGGCAGTAACAGGCATTCAGTCCTGAATCAACTCCCTTAGTGAACAGGTCTAGTATTACTTTAGAATACAGTTATATTATTCTTACAGTTTGGTTCTATATTCATCCTTCATCAATTCTACATCTCTCTTCTAAGTGGCTTACTCCTGGTTCGGTTCTATTTGGACCAGTACTTACCTACAACCTCAGCAGGAAAGTACACAATGTATATTTAATTTTTAGAAAGAACACAGACAAAAAAGTATAGTAATTTTTTGAAATATTATTTATACTAGCATAGACAGAAAAGGAATTGATTTTTCTCCAGAGTATTACTTTTTCTATGAAATTCTGTGAAATATGTAGTGGAGAATGGAGCCGCTGGAAAACATTTCCAGTTGGGATATTTGAAAGCAAAATTTCGAAAAATGCTCAGGAGTAAATTAGCTATTGATTTGTAGTTAGGTGGGTTCCATCTAAGGGATAGAGGTAATCAAAAAGGTTATGCAGAGACCAGGGCTGGACTTGGGTTAGGCTAAAGCCATAATATTGGGGATGTTTTCTGTTCCATTCATTGAAAATGTATCCATAGAAAAGAAATGAAAGGAATAAAAAAATATGAAATTCTTCTAAAAGTATATTTTACTCAGTTAGAAAATTGTAAAGCCAATACAATAGAACTTGTAATATATTCATGAAATGTTCTATTTCTGAACATATTTCACAGAATTTACTAATAAACAATCATAATAGAAACTGTTAAAAAATTGATAATAAGTACCAACATTTATTAAACAAGCAATTATCTATTAATGACAAAAAAACTATAAGCTCTTAGAGTAAAGTCATTTTCAAGGCTAAACTAAAAAAATTGGTCATCAAAAGTTTTGTTGTGAATTTTCAATACTAACTGATGTATCTGGAATATCAAGATTCCAAAAATTACCATTCCTAAAATATTTTTCTAAGTTGAATTTCATTTTTTCACAGGGAAAATTAAGATACTTGGTAAAACTCAACTTAAATACTGTATCACTGAAAATTTTTAAGTGAAATATATTTTAAAGACAGTGTACTTTGTTGTATTGTAATTGTAGGAATTTCAGGTTCGTCACAACTGTAATTGTCCTTTCCAATCATTTACAAACTTGTCAAAAGTACTAGTCCAAATAGAACCTTTAAAGTTCGTCCACAAATAGTCTAACAAAGGCAATTTCGGTAGAAATTAATCAACAAAACACCAGTATTTCGTCCAAAGAATATGTATTGAGTAAAATGAGCTTCTAGTTCTAAACAAGCTAGTTTAAACAACCAGCTGATGGTTAGAAAAGTGAACTGTCAACTGTTAATTTCGTAGGGTTTATATACTCTTTTAAGGGTTGATAGTTCACAAATTTCAATGTTCACAAAAACAAAAGTAACATTTGAAGACAAAGAAAAGTTGTAAATATGGTCATGTTTTTATTGTTTTCCTCTTCTAAATAATAGTTGAATTTCTCAGGTTGGAGAGTTGCATAAGATGTAACAATTTTAGTAGGACAAGTCCAACAATCAAGAAAACATGTAGATTGTATATTTGACCGTTTTTATATTCTACCTTAATAATGATATTCAATTGATTGAGTTAGTAAATTTAGCATGAGCATATAAGGAGGAAGTATATCTGATTAATGCATGTTAAGAAGAACAGTATTGTGTATACAATACTGTTGAATTGTCAATATAATCTAAACTTAGAATTTAAGCATAATTGATAAATAATGGAACTAGTTTTAGTTCAAAATCATAAATGTATAGATTAATAAATTGTTA